TATGGCAAAAGTACAATCCCATAGCTGTCAGTATTTTAAGAATAGAAGTGACAAATGATCATGACAATGTTTTTGTAAAGAACCTTTAGGGTATTAGCATAATACAGTTATAAGGTTAATAAAACCAAGAACCCCAAGGGTCTGATGAAGACTTTCAGAACTTGGCAAATTATATAATAATATATATTAACTTGTAGTGCCTGTGTGGAAGTGGGAGATTTGCATAGCTAGTGCCATTTACACCAGGGTTATTTGACTTCAATTATTTCCCAGTTGCATATTAAAATACAGTTTGTTGCAGTTTATATAAAAAGTGAATGCTGTGTAGTGTTTTTTCACTACAAAAACAATAATGTTACAGTAGTAGTGAATCTACAAAGCAGCAACTAATTTTTAAACACATCTATTTTGGCTTAATAAAGTTGTGTTAGTTTACACAATTCACATACATATCACAATTTTTTATTTTTTCCTAATAAAACAAACCCACCATCATCAAAGTTACACCCTAACCCTAAGAAGAGATTGAGGCAAGGTGTCTTGTGGCGAAATAACCCCGCCACTGGTTTTTGGAGGGGCCTGTTTGCCAGCCTCCTACCCTGTGACTATGGTCCCTGCAATAGACCTGGCTAAAATACTTTAAACAGGCTCTATTTGTGCAATTGCAACTATATGGTTCGTTTACCGAACAGCTGCATGAGCCGGAGACCACCCTGGAGCATGTTAAGCTTAACTGATACATTGTTGCAATTTCCACCGCAGTGGTCTAAGTGTTCGACTGGGTGCCGACAATTCCTATGGACTACCACCAGGTGGCAGCCATCTTGTTCGCATTGACCAAAACCGCAAATAGACTTCAGGGGGACTTAGCCGCTAATGCCCTGGAACTATTTTCGGCATGAAAACTTTGCGGTTCCCGATCGGTTTCCCAGTGGCACTTAGCCGCGATTCTATGGAACTATTTTGGCCACAAGACTTCGCAGTTCCCGGTTGGTCCTCCAGCGTCACTTAGCAGCGATTCTATGGAACTATTTTCGGCTATGGGACCATGCCTGCGGTTGGTCAAATAAATGACTTCCACAGAATTTCTGAACCCATGAACTGATCTGGCTGATTTTTGTTTTGGTCACCCAGATCAGGGCTATCAGGGAATTGTAGGGATACTTTGTGTTTTAGGGTACTTTTGGGGCATTATAGAAATGTGTGGTTTTTTTTGCCTGGAGATAATTGAGTTTAATACAATATCTGACTCAATTATCTCCAGGCATAGGGGCGGGATTGTATGTTTGTTATGGGAGTGTCATGCATTTAATCACTGTTCTTATTGGTCTGTGTCTTTTTGTTGGAGTCCCCAACAAGGTCCATGTGGGCATACCCCTTGCATGGGGATTGTCATAAAAGGCCAGTGTGGCACCATAAAAATTCCATCTTACTTTACCCTCATCGTAGAGCATCGCCTCGTTTTTGTAGGGACCTGCTATACAAGCTATAACCACTAGACATGTGCAATTCAATTCAGTCCGAATAGAAATTCGGACGAATTTAAGTTCCGAATTTCGGAAGTGCCAAATTTCGGAAGTGCCGAACTGAATTGCCGAAGTGCCGAATTTCAGAAGTGCCAAAGTGCTTCACATGTCTGAAAGGTGGCAAAACGTGTACGGGTAGGATTGGGGTTGGGGTAGGGTTAGAGGTAGGGTTAGGAGTAGGGTTAGGGTTGGGTTAGAAGTAGGGTTAGGATTGGGTTAGGATTAGGTTAGGAGTAGGGTTAGGGTTAGGATTATGGTTAAGGTAGGGTTAGGAGTAGGGCTAGGGTAGGGTTAGGAGTAGGGCTAGGGTAGGGGTAACCTAACCCTAACCCTAGCCCTAACCCTACCCTAACCCAAACCTAACCCTACTCATAACCCTAACTCTACTCCTAACCCTGCTCCTAACCCTACCCTAACCCAAACCTAATCCTACTTCTAACCCTACCCCAACCCTAACCCTACTCCTAACCCTACCTCTAACCCTACCCCAACCCCAATCTTACCCGTACACGTTTTGCCACCTTTCAGACATGTGAAGCACTTTGTTTTCCTGACACTATAGCTCTCCTTTAAGAATATAGTGTCAGGAATACATGTTTAGATTCCTGACTCTATAATGTTCATTTAAATCACTGTTGTTTCTGTCTACGCAGCTGTAGCTACCCCTACCCTGGCTGTGACTGACACAGCCTGCATAAAAAAATGATTTATTTTTAATTAGACTTTAACTTGCTTTCCAAGTTTTTTTCTCCTACTCAGTAAATTGAACTTTAATCACATATAGGAGGCTCCTGTATGGTCTAGGAGGCTATTAACAGAGCAGGAGATAATAAATTCTAGATTAAATAGACTGTGCAATAGAGAAATCTGAAATATCTAGGCTATTTTTCAGGAAGTGTTTGGGAAGGCTGTGCAAGTCACATGTAGAGAGGTGTGATTAGGGCTTCATAAACAAATTGATTCAACTTCTAAATGGCAGAGAATTGAGCAGTATGACTGCAGGGGCATATTCTATACACCAAAACTGCTTCATTAAGATAAAGTTGTTTTTTAGCCTACAGTGTGCCTTTAAAGGTACAGATACAACTTCTGCTTTTTTTTTAAATTTAATGTATTTCTTATAATGAATATCACTAAATTAACTATTACATTTGTAGTTAGTTGCAAAGGAATTGAGATCTTAAATTATGTATTTCTCTAAAGAGAACATAAAAGGTTTATGACACCATGTGACACTAAGTGAAAAATGGAATTCATGATGAGATACCAATGTTTTTTTATTGTTTTTTTGATAACCCATGCTCAGCCCGTCTTATTGAAGGAATTGTCTCTCTTGGGCCCCTTCCATGTCCATCATTTACACTGCAGCCTGTTTCATTGTTATTGTTAAAACATGATTTTCTACAGAAATACTCAGTTTAAGCTAAGCATTGTAAGTGCTAAGATGCTATCCCGATCTTTCTTTAATACATTGTTATATTTGTTAGAAATATGTTTTAAATGTATGGTTAAATTATGAAATTTAACCCCTTAAGGATGGCGGGCGTTCTATGACGTCCTTTAAGGGGTCGCTCTAAACGCTGGCGGGCGGCATAGAACGTCTCCGCCGTCCTTATTACTTATTGCTCTCGATCTGCAGAGAGCCTCAGGCGGCTGCAGCTTTGCCAGCCCGGGCACAGCCTGAGGAGAGGGGCTGACAGGAGGGAAGCGCTCAACGCTCCCTCCTGTCACTCCCTCCCTGTAGTGTGGCCGAGCCCTCTATTGGTCCACGGGTACAGGGTGCTTTTGAGTGTGCACTTCCTGTTAGTCCGGCCGGGTACAGGAGACAGATGCTCACTGTACCCGCGGACCAATAGAGGGCTCTGCCACGCTACAGGGAGGGAGTGACAGGAGGGAGCACTGAGCGCTTCCCTCCTGTCAGCCCCTCTCCTCAGGCTGTGCCCGGGCTGGCAAAGCTGCAGCCGCCTGAGGCTCTCTGCAGAGCGCTCGGGCGGCTGCAGCAGGAGGGGGGCCGGCGCTCCTGGCGGCGCCCCCTCCCAAGGCACTCCCCACCTTGCTGGCACCCGGGGCGGACCGCCCCCTCCGCCCCCCGTTAGTACGCCACTGTTAACAACTCATAATTTTCATTGCAAAAATGTCTGTTATTGCATAGCCATTAAACTAGGAAATATTGTAGCCATTTTTGCATTGTAGCATGCTAACAGGTGTGTATTTCTCGCCCCTTTTGGGTCATCCACATCATATCTCCAAATATTTTTCATTGATGACCTAAACTCATGATGTGTCCATTTTGGGAATTATGGGAACTGCGAGGGAGCATGGTAGTCAGCTCTGCCCCCTCCCTTAGTCCTCCTGTGACACAGGGGGAGGGAGTAAAAAGAGACAGAGGTGTAATAGAGAGACACAGGGGAAGGGGGGACAAAGAGACATAAGGGTAATAGAGAGAAAGAGACAGA